CGCCGCTCAAAATACCTGCGGCCGCCGCTGTCATCACCTCCATTTTCGCATCTACCGCTGTTATCAACGCCATACAAGTCCTGTGTTTCCTATTACGCATCTCGTAACTGGGTTTTGTAAGTAATTTTCGTGTTACTTTCGGAGGCTGTCTCGTGATTTTCAAGCGCTCGCCAGAAAGTATTTATTTCTGTTGGCGCCTACGTATTATTCTAAAATTAGGGAATGTAGTTGAGAGTGCGAGTCTCATCACAAATCTAAATACGTTGAATATTCCCTTTCAGTGACGCATTAACAAGCCAATCTGTGTGCCACAAAGGTAGCCTTTGTGTAATATTTAACGTCCCTAAAAACCGTGATAGAAAATTAATGGGATGTTCGTTATATGACCTTTATAGTCATATGTAATTCGTGTCGCATACATAAAATTAACATGTTAATAAGATATTCACAATTTTTTACTTTCTAAATTTGACACGTATATAACAGTTAACTGGAATATGCGTGATGTGTCACATCAAATTAGCAGATATGTTTCCTTAATGGATATTACATTTTTGCTCGAGAATAGATTATCACTGAAAATATATCAACTTTCCGAAGAGAAAGCTATTGAAATGTTTGCAAGAAAATTAGAGGAATAACAGAGCAATTTAACTTGCACGCAAACCAATGAAGACCATCGAAGTCAACAATTTGTAATATCCCAGAAAAAAAATCTCAGCTCAATGAATGCTAAGTGTTGTGGGGCTGCGCCATCGGTCTGGCCTGAGCTCGACGCCTCCACCGAACTTGACCTTTGAATTTCTCAGAGGCGCAAAGGTCACCGAGCGGCTAAATCAGTCGTTCCCTCTAGCAGCCTCGCCCTCGCCACCGCCACCGCCCGCGCCGGTCGCCCCACCGGTGCCCTGCTGCCCTCCGGGACATCGTCCCTAGGCGCCTGCGCGCCCCCCTCCACGGCAGGATAGGGCCGGGGCGTAGAAAGGGACGGTCGGACGGACGGACGGGTGGAACTCCCGGAAACGGAGAGAACAAGACGCTCGGCCCCCGAAAGAAGTAGCCGTTAACTTGTTATCCGCAGTTGCCCGGAGATTACGACTCCAGGATGGCGGTTGCGAACACATGGAGCGGAGAGCGTTGACCATTTCCATGTACAACACACTGCGGAACGACTCGCAAGCCTAACTACCGACAAGACATTGCAGAGATAATAAAACTCCCTTTGATTTAAAACATTTTTTTCGCGTAATCGGAATTAAAGATTAAAATAGACTAATGTTAATCATGTGAACTCATTTTCATTTACTAGAATTATGTTTTGAACGATTTATAAATTTCCTACAAAACGAAAATTCCTACTTTTTAAAATAACTTTTTCTTCCCCCATTGTATAATTTTGTCATTTGACTGCTGAAACCCGTTGCATAATGATACTCATTATGATACAGATTTCATTATGATACAAGTTCTTGACCAATCACAGAAGTTTACAAACCATATATTGACAATTAATTATTGAGAATCGTTCTATAAAATGTTTCATTCGATTATGTATATCAAAATTGCATTTAATATTATATTATGCTTGTTAGTTGTAATTTCTTTTATGATTAGTAATAATTTTTGTGAAATATTATTTAAAATAAATTGCGTCATTTCACTTCGACCCTATTTGACTAGCGCAGTGGTAAACAAAAGACACCTACCGCAGGAGAGGGTCTGGAAGCGAAGAGAGCTGAGCGCTAGGTGGCCATGACTGAATCCTGCAATATTGCATTGTCAACTGCCACGAAAGAATTCATCGTAAACGTTTCTTGCTCATATCGTAATATCACACTCGTGTATTAATACCCATCATTGTTTCATAATGTACAATTACGTAATCTATACCAATTACTCCACCAATACTTACTCACAAACATTCATTCAATGAAATAGATCGAAATACATTGGTAACAATTATGTTGTTTCACGCCATGTAGCAAATAAAATGCTTCAAATACAAAATAATTTATCAATATATGAAAATATTTCAAAATATCAGGAAACATTAAATTCATTCATATGATAAACATGTTTTCATAATTCTTGTTGCAAAATATTCGAAAATGTATACTGCTCAAATTTGCTCAAATTTATGATTGCATTTACATGAGAATTTTTCAAGCATTTACTTACCGGAATCGCATGTTGATTCACTCTCTTCTCAGAATTATCTTTCCGTAGCGAATAAAAGTAAAGAGATATTAATAGTATCACTTTTGTGGTCATTTGCGCTGAAACATTCACCAATTCTTGGTTGAACATACACGTAACACGCATCATGATTTCACACGAAGACATTCGACTGTCTTCCCCCGGTATTTTATCACTACTGCCGAACGACAAAAATTCAGAACGTTTGAAGCGACACCATGTGGCAAATTCCTTGACTAAATGGTCTATTCTCCTGTGCCCTCTACTGAACTCTGTTGATCCGGTAATGAAATATTACTGAATTAAGTTCTTAAATAAACGATAATTTCATATATTCCATATTTCGATGCACAAACACACAATTTAAAAACGAAACTCTAATTTTAGAAATAAATTTTATTTACCGTTAACCGTTTACAGTTAACCATACAATATGCAACAAAAGCCAATCATTTCATTGGTAATACTAAAATTTTCACGACATTTCAATCATTTTCACAATAAATGTGAAACAACCTATTTTCAATTAAATAGATGACTTCTACTACATTGACTCATTTATAAACAGAACAGGTGGTATATACAAATATTATTATGGTCCTTGTCCCCATTTTAACATATTTTAATTTTAGTTTTGCAGTAACCGTATATCTGCTACCTAATTATATTAAATCATTGTAAAATTCAACGTGACCCGAACTTTGAGAAAAATAAGTTAAGTTCAGACCTATGCCAGAAATTTTCCACTGCGGATATTGTCTGTTTTCAATTATGAGAATTTCAGTTATTTTCAGAAATAATAAAAGTCAATAATTATATCCCCTTTCGTTCATTAATGTGTACAACTACTAAATTATGTAAATAACCTCATTTCATGTAACTTTAAAAATAAAAAAAAATGTATATTACATTCTATTAAAAGTATTTTCTTCAGGAAATACAATTAGAAAAACTGGCTGAATTTCTAAACAAAATTGGTCACTCCAAAATCACGAAAATACTAACTTAAAATTTTGTATAAATAAATCACTCTTCTTATTGTATTGGTTTCCAAAGTCTGAATGAGCCCCTGGCCACTGAAATTTCAGCTGCTCACGAAAGTGAGCGTTTACTTTGAGCTTGAAATTGATGGAAGAGTAACGTGCCTGCCTGAAATATAATTTGCATTACGAGTATTCTGAAGGAGGAAAAGGAAAGTGCACCTTAAAACTTCTATTTTAAAGAAATGTTATTTATTTGATCTAATATTGGATAAAGACTTGATCCATTGTGAGTTTGGTTGAAAGCGTGACGTAAGAGAACGGCTCGAGTAATTTGATAGTCCGTGGTTCTGAGCTGTCAACGTGATTGCCTCACATTTAAATTCTCAATCATACACTAATACGTTTGAATATCCTCACATGCTTTTTGACGTGATTTTTATTTAATTTTAATTTTAGTCGTATCTGTAGTTTCCGTCTTTTTATTTTATTTGTATACGTGATTTCATAAATTATTACAATAATTGTTTAATGAGGATGTTGGAACAGTCTATATCACTGGTAAAAACTATCCTTAACCTCTAACTGCACTCTCCAAACTGCTATTCTCGAGACATAATTAGCTATTTCCCGGATCACTTCGCTGGCAAAAGAGTACATTTCTAAGAAAAATGTAGTTTCGGGCAATTTACAACTGTTTTACGTCCTTTTAAAATAATCATCTTCTGACTTGAACCGAATATAGTATTATATTAGAGCTATAAACGAGTACAAGGTATGTGGGAGTAATGAGCACCACAACTGCTACAGTCACACATAAGGGCAGGGATCACCGACTGCCCGGAGAAGCTGGTAGGCTGTAATAGAGTATCAATGTCAAAAAGAGGGGAATACGCGACAGGAGTGAAGGCAGCGACAAATTCAGGAGATAATACAATTCCAAGTAAGGTTAGAAGAAAGCATTTCCCGTACCCCACGAACCTGATTTCCGCCCCTTTTGCCTGAGTAGCGAATTTCTTCTACAGCATTGCATGCTGTGGACTATGGAAAACTTCTCAAGGCCGTTCGCGTCAACTTGGCCTGTGTACGCGACGAGGTTGACCGGCAGAACGAGAACACACGAGGCCAGGGGCGCGTGGCAACCCGACGCCCGGCGACGCACGGCGGGCGGCAAAGGCGTCGAAGCATTACGCGTGCCGACGGCGGCCTCGGCGGCGGCGACGGCGTCGGAGGCGCGAACGAGCACCGGATGAAAGGCACGATTCAAAGCTCCCGGACCGCAAAAAGGGCCGCCGCTACCGCCGCCTCCATTGCCGCCGCAGCGAGCCATGCTATGCGAGCAGCCACGCAGTCGAGCATGGCGCCACGCGGCGTGAAATAATCTCGTTTTTGAAAATACTCTTCGTTAGTTTTTGTAATATAAAACTAGATTTGAATAACGGACCTTTTCGGACAATGCACGTGAAATAAATTGTAGAAGAATTTGTAAATAGATTTTGTTCGTCGGGGAATCACTTTTAGTATGTTTTAATTTCGCGTTTTTAATTATTATTATTTCGAGTTCAGAATTTATCCCGATAATTCCATTTTCGGCAAGAATGTATTAACATTATTGCTAATACGAAGTACACTTAGATTTTTGTATATCTTGTAAAAGAAAACACTCTACGCAAATATGCTTCGTTGAGTTTCAATATCGTAGTGAACATAATGGCTGACCAATACCTTACCACAGCCATCTTTCGTATTATATTATATTGTGGGAAATATTGCAATATTCTTACGTAGTGAGACAGAGGGTTTTAAAAAATTCCGTTAAGTGTGATTGCAAAAAAAGGTGAATAGAATACTCAAAATAGTTCTCACTATTCGGAGAAAGATTAAGAAATCTTGTTAATTGGTTTCCTAATACGAAAAATATAGGTATATAAATAAAATTTTTTATTCTTAATTAATCAGTGTTCTTTAATCAATTCCAAGCACAGTTTTGAATGTGGTTCTCTTTATTATTTTAATCAAGTGGCGTTTCCCGTTAATAAATTATAAGACGACATTCACAAATTACATTAAGTTGTCATGTACGCCACCCAAAGAAGCGAGGTCTTCGCTCGGCGGCGGCTGAAACCGACACCATCGCCCCTCCATCTCCGCCACTGGTATTGCGGCTGTTGCTACCTACGCGCCGCCTGATTAATGAGCCGAAGCGTTTAAGCGAATTTCCAACCGATGATGAGAGCCCCGCGATAGACTGTCGTCACGAGCTGACGGATGATGGAGATAGGCGGCGCGTGGGGAGCGAGGGGCGGGGAGTGCGTCTGCCACAAACTCCGCCACCCACGCTGTTTGCGCGCGGA